TGACCCGCTAGCAGGATTTTGGAGACTCTAAATAGTGCAGGAGGAGATTGCTCATCTTTCGTCGATGGAGCTGCTTATTGTGTGTCATCAAGTCAGCTCACCATTAGCTGAGCCTTCAGCAGCTTTTCTGAGGCAGTAAATCACAGGGGAGGCAATTACCCATCATCCTCCCCCAGAGCCACTGATGGATTCGAACCACGTGCCTTTGGAATTGCAGTGTGGCTTAATACCACAAGGCCACTCAAGCTCCCTAGGGAGCTACTTAGGAATTTAAACAGCCAGAGGTGTAGTCTTTCTCTTATGGATTCGCTGGTGGGTTTAAACTACCAGAGATAGCAGTGCAACTCCCTATGGACTAGGCCACCATATAAGGACTTAAGTCAGAAACATTTACTTTTGTCTTTTAAGTGACACCCTCCCACCTTTTAAGTGCTTCCTCCCACCTTAAAAGGTCCTTGACAGTAATTTATGCAATGTGATTTGCACTCTGATTCCTTGGTTGCTCCTACCATGGTGTTGATTATAGATCCAAGTGAAATGAAATAATTGAGACCTTCAATCTTTTCTCTATCGTTATGTATACTGGCTCAATTGTGAGAATTTTTGTTTTATTAATGGGGAAGTATAATCATACTTTCACTGAAGACTGTATTTATTAACTTTATCAGTAAGTGATTCAAGTTGTTCTCATTCTCTACAAGAAAAGTTGTATTATCTGCATGCCTCAGATTATTGATAGTTCCTCCAATCCTGATGTGATGTTCTTTATGTGGTCCAGATCCTCAGATTATTTGCTCAATATATAGATCGAATAGATAATGGTGAAAGGATGCAATCTTAGCCATGCATCATACACTTGTTCTGTTCAGATACCTGCCTCTGGTCATTTGAACAGGTTCCATATGAGCACAACTTAAGTGTTCTAGAATTCTCATTCTTCTTAGTGTTGTACATTTGCATAGTTATCAAGCACAAGTAAGCATCTTTCTGCTATTTTCTGCCTTTAGCCAGCTTCCAGCTGACTTTAGTAATGATGTCCATAGTTCCACAGCCTTTTCTGAATCCAGCCTGAATTTCTGGTGGTTCCTTGTTCATGTGTTGTTTCAGCCATTTTTAAAATACTCTCCAGCAGAATTTAATTGCTTGTGGTATTAATGCTATTGTTCAGTAATTTCTGCAGTCTTCCTTCCATTTTATTTTGATGCTTCCTGCATCATTCAAGATTTTCCCTAATAGAATCCATAAATATTGCAGCTCAAGACTTGAATTTTTTCCTTTTAAGATTGAACAACACTGGCTGTTAATCATTTTGGTTTTCTAACTCCAGGTTTACACACTATTAATTACAGTATTTTGTTTTCTCCAGCTGCTGTTCAGTGCCCTTACTGTCTTGATTTTAGCTTCTCTGCTTTTAAATCTGACATCCATTTTGGGCTTTTCTTTGTTTCCCATCTTTTTAAATGTCTTTGTGCTTTCTTCACCTGTGATGTCCTTGATTTCATCTCACAACTTGAATCTTTGATAATAGTATTCAATGTATCAAATACACTATTGAGGTAGTACCTAGATTAAGATGGTTAATACTCAGGATTACACTTTTTCTCTCATGTACTTGTTTTCATTTCCTTCAACTTTAACTAGCAAATGAGTATTTTATGGCTTGTTCAACTGCCGTCACCTGGCCTTGTTCTTCCTCCTGTCCTTATAGAGACCTTCTGCATTCTTAATGTATAATATTCTTGATATCCTCCCACACTCATCTGGTCTTTGTTCATTTGGAATCAAAGGTAACTAACACTACAAAACAATCTAAAAAACAGAAAATGTGCCTATCTACAAAAGTCTTCATTAAGTCTTTCACTGAAACACTAAATTTCACATAATGGTTACATTAAAATCGTAATAATACTAGAACAAAATATATTACATAGAAATCAATGGAATTCCTCCTCTATGAAGAAGAATGTGCCATCAGGATTGGAGAAAGACTCATCAATAACATTATGCAGATGACACAATCTTGCTTCTGATAATGAGCGTGATTTGCAGAGCTTCATCTCACGTACTCTGGGCATGTTGTTAGGAGAGGCTGTGCCTTGGAGAGGGTCATCATGCATGGAAAGGTGCTAGGATGGTAAAGAAAGAAGACAATCGTCAACTAAACAGATTGATACAGTGACTGGCAGCAGTGGTCTCAAGTTTGTCAGGAAGGGTGAGGGTGGCATAGGAGAGGACAGGGTTCAGATTTGTTGTTTGTAGCTGTCAGTCTTGGCGGCATAGAGGTAAGGAGTTAGGATGCCAACCAAAAGCCAAGTGTTCAAATCCACCATTGCAGAAGGATGGACAATTTCCTTCTGAGCCTCTGAAAACTCATTGGAGGGTCAGTTCAAAGTTGGTTCAGACTCAAGAGGAAAACATCAACAATATATCATGTCATCTGAGATGGATGTCACAAGAGACTTTGAATAATGCAGTATAATTCTGAGAAGCCACAACAGGGGGAAGAAATCAAGAAGTTAAGGAGCAAAACGGAGCATTTTAAAGGTCAGTGCAGAGGACCAAAGAGAGTATTATAAAGAATTGTGCAAAGAGTTGGAGTCAGAAAATCAAAAGGGACGAACTCGCTTAACATTCTTAAGCTGAAGGAACTGAAGAACAATTCAAGCCTTGAATTACAATACTTAAGGATATTGTGAGCAGAATGTTAATGACTGAGGAGGCAGCATCAAAAGAAGATGGAAGGCGTATATAGTCACTGTACCAAAAAGAACTGGCTGACGCAGAAGCATTTCATGAAACAACGTATGTTAACAAGAGCTTGTGGTGATGAAGAACTTCAAGCTTCTCTGAAGGAATTTCAAAAAAACAAGGCCTCAGGAATTGGTGTCACATGAATTGACATTTTAACCAACAGATGCAGCCCTGGACGTGCTCACCAGGTTATGCCAAGAAGACTAGAGGTCCACTCCCTAACGAACTGACTGGAAGAGATCCATATTTATTATTCCCATTCCAAAAAAAAGGTGATCTTACAGTGTGGAAATTATCAAAAGTATCATTAATTTCAAGTGCAAGCAAGATCCTGCTGAAGATTATTCCAAAGTGACTGGAACAGTACAACAGAATTGCCAGATGAGCAGACTGGGTTTAGAGAGGCCATGGCACTAAGGACATTATAGCAAATGTTAGATGGCTCTTGGCTGAAAGCATAGAGTACTGAAGGGACATCTGTTGTGTTACTTTAACTGTGTGGATTACAACAAATTGTAACCTTGGAAGAAAATGGAATCTCAAAATACTTGTGCTCACATGACTGTCAGTAGATAGTCATCAGAATAGAGCAAGGAAATACTGTGTCACTGAAGATCAGCAAAGGTCTATACAAGGGATGCCTCCTATCTCCATATTTTTCAGTCTTTGTGCAGATTATCCAAGCTTCTCATAGTGCCCAGCCTCTCAGATAATCTGTTCTGTATACAGGTTGAAAAGTTATGGCGATAGGACACATCCCTGGCGTACACCCTTCCCAATTTTGAACCATGCATTGTTGCCCTGCTCTGTTCTGAGGACTGCCTCTTGGTCTAAGTATAGGTTTCGCATTAGCACGATCAAGTATTCTGGGGTTCCCATTCTTCTGAGAGTCAGTCACGGTTTGTTATGATCCACACAGTTAAATGCCTTTGCATAGTCAATGAAACACAGACATTCCTCTGGTATTCCCTGCTTTCAGCTAAGATCCATCTAACATTAGCTACAATATCCCTAGTACTATGACCCCTTCTAAACCCAGCCTGGACTTCCGACAGTTCTCTGCTGATGTGCTGATGTGTCGTTTATAGATAATCTACAGTAGAATCTTGCTTGCATGTGAAATTAATGATATTATTCTATAGTTTCCACACTCTGTTGGGTCATCCTTCTTTGGAATGGGAACAAATATAGATCTCTTCTCCAGATTTCTTGGCACAACTTGGTGAGCACATCCAGAGCAGCATCTGTTAGCTGAAATACATCAATTGGTATACCATCTATTCCAGGGGCCTTATTTTTTCCTATTTCCTTAAAAGCAGCTTGAACTTCTTCTTTCATCACCATAGGCTCTTGCTCATATGTTATTTCATGAAATTCTTCTCTGTCTGCCAATTCCTTTAGATACAGTGACTCAGTATATTCTTTCCATCTTCTTTTAATACTTTCTGGATCATTTAATATTCTGCCGAAAGCATCCTTGATTATAGCAACTCGAGGTTTGAATTTGTTCTTCAGTTCCTTGAGCTTTAGAAATGCTGAGCGAGATCGGCCCTTTTGATTTTCTGACTCTAGCTCCTTGCACATTTCATTGTAAAATTTTGTTTTGTCATCCCGTGCTGCCTTTTGGAATTTTCTATTCAACTCTTTAGTATCTTGAATTCTTCCTTCTGCTTTGGCTTCTCTGTGCTCCAGTGCAATATGCAGAATTTCTTCTGACATCCATTACCAGTGTTATTTTAATCTTTGCCATGATGCTAGAAGTTAGAAACTCTTATCACATTAAGGAGACTGGGGCACAGAAACGTAATAACTTACCCAAGGCGACACATCTAGTCAGGGAGCTGAAAATGAAGTGCAGGTGATCTGACTACAAAACCAGTGTGTTCAGTCTTTATTTATAGAGAAGGAATTGGAGGAGGTGGTAGGAATTTGCTTGGTACCATTTTCTATGTAGTTTATTATGAAAATTTAAGATTTTTTTCTGACTGTAATGTTGCATCATGAAAGATTGCGAAATGAATGCCCAGGAGGTTGGTTTATGATTCAAGAGAGTGTTGGTCTCTGGCCCATATATTTACATTTAATATTTAATAGGTTAAATTAGAGAGTAAAGCTCATCATGCATTCTCTGGCCTAAAATGTATTTGTTTGATTTTAAAATTGAGGATTGCATTATTTTATTGATAAGATACATGAATATATATATATGATTGTATGTAAATAAACTGTAATGAACTCTTCTTCAATAGGTGCGAGAAGATGTACTAAATTCATTGAATAACAACTTTCTTCAAACGCTAAATCAAGCTTGGAATGATCATCAAACAGCTATGGTGATGATTAGAGACATACTAATGTATATGGTAAGTCTTTCTGTTCTTTTTTCTTTTAAGAAGTTAACCATCTGCAAACACAGTATCTTTGTGTTAAGTTTAGTTGGATGATACTTGCCAATTGTAATTTTAAAACATAAATCATGTTTCTTTTGTGATAGTCAAGGTCAGTTTGTATGACCAGTAATCCTTACTTGTTGTGTAATTATTGAATGATTAGAATGAATGGCCAGAAGGGAAAGATTGTAATCTCCCCCCCCCCACCCCCCCCTTGCGTCTAGTAGCACTTGTACTTAAAGAGAAATACTGAGAAGCCCAGGATAACATCATCTTCTGTAAGAGTAGTTAAGTGAAACCAATTATTCTCTTAGAGGTTTTAATGTTTGTGTATCTTTGGTGACAGAAGATGCTATCTTAATATGGTAGTAATTATACTCTAATAAACTGTCCTCCATATGTGTCCTTTGCAAATCCTTGCACTACATGATGGTGGCCTGTTGTCTTTAAGGTGTTTAGGTGCTTCAGTGCATATTTCATTTTTACTCATTACTGTTTATTTTGAATATGATTGTGTTCTTACTTGTTTAGCAGGCTCGTATGGGAAGGATTGACTAGGCAGTTCAATAAAACTTTAAAGGGGATTGAACTATTGTTTTGTTGTTATTTTAAATAGTAGTAGTAGTATAGAATGAAGCCAGATTCACCATGCTTAGTTATTATTGTTTGAGTGAAAGATGTTATATTCTAGTGACCTTTCTTGTTACTTCTGTTTTTATGTTTGGAAATAAGACCGTGATTTTTTTTTTTCTACCCCAAAATTCTCTATTTCTAATTTTTATTCCAGTTTCTTGTTGTTAGGTGTTAACTTGACAAGTATGACCCATAGCAGCCCTAAGAAAAACAGATTTGAACCCTGTCCTATCCTATCCCATCTTCATACTTTTTGACGCACTAGAGTCTGTTGCTACAGTCACTGTGTCAATCTACTTGGGCTTGTCTTTTGTGAGCCTCCTGCTTTCCAAGCATGATGTCCCTCCGAGGAATAGCCTCTCCTAGCAACATGCCCAAACTATGTGAGATGAAGCTTTATTATCTTTGCCTCTAAGGAGTAGTCTGGCTGCACTTTGTCCAAGACATATTTGTTCCTTTCGCAGTCCATAGAATAATCAGTACTCCCAACGCAACAGCTCAAAAGCATCAATTCTTCTCCTCTCAGCCTTATTTATTGTCTAGCTCTCACATGCAAAGCAAGTGATTGAAAAGACTATGGTTTGAATTAGACACACCTTAGTCCTCAAACTGACATCATTGCTCCTCGATAGTTTCTTAGTTTTTATTTTTAATTGTAGTGACAGCTTGTCCTAGTCTCTTGAGAGAATCATGTTATTTTTACCTCAGTTACAATGAAAGCAAACACAATTGTAAAGTTTTGTTCTGCAAATGAATTCACTTCGCTCTGTTACTGTTAGTGGTAAAGGGGCTAGAGAACGGTAGTTTTCAGGAACTTGATAGAAGTACCTGAAATTTTTCATTGAAAATTTTCGAGTAGTTGACAAAAGATAGAAGAATTTAAATTAGTCTTTCTGAGCTTCATTTTAATACTTTGCTGGGAAACTGACTACTTGCAATGTCGTGCTCCATTTCTGTTGACAGAAGATGTTTTTTAAGTATGTATGTATGCTTTATTTCACTTTCTCATGTTGTGCAAATGCACTCTCAAACTTTATTTCCTCTTTCGCTTTTTATGTGACCACAGTCAAGAAGGTAGTTTATGCCTCACCTTCCTCATTTAGAAAATAAAAACACCTAATTAGGTAGAGTAGTACAGAGGCTTAAGGCAACTAACTGTATATAATCATTTGCAAAGCTTGGCCCATAGTAATGGTAGTGTGACTGTTTTTGTCCCTTCTGGTAGCACTCAGTCCTGGGTAAGCCCAGCCACGTACTAATCCAGTGCTTCTGTTGGAGGAAACCATACATGGTGAGATGACTGCCACTATTTATCATTGTCAGGAAATTCTAGTAGCTCCTCTGTGCTGCCCAGCAGTTTTACTCTTTCACTAAGCAGCTCACTTTACCACATTGTCTGCAAGCCTCCCGGCTCTCCTCTGGTACCCTCATCCTTAGTAAATGATCTCATCATCATCTTAAACAAGGTAGAGCATCAGATGAGAGTTCTGTTTATTTCTTTGTTATGGTATCTACAACTTTTGTTCTTTGTGTTTTCTCTTTAGTGTTGTATTTTTCTCTTTTTTTAATAAGACATTGTCTAATATCAAAGACTTATTTCTCTTCCACCTGTGCTGTGTATAGTTTCAGCATCTTACTTATTAATAGACATGTTCAGACTACTCACATCTTGAAAATAAAAGTCCATGAAATGCTCTGGTGAACCTCTGAATAGTTTCCCAAAGTCTCCGTCATTCATCACTTCATGTCTGGTAAGAAAGATTGACACATGTTGTTTCCCTCTTCTTACCTCCTGTTGACTTGAACATGTTCTCATTAAACTTTTTCCTTTACTCTGCAGTTAATTTTTTGGCCCTTATTGTGGTTACCATGATGTCTGTAAATCTGTCAGTGCAGAGATCACTCCTAATCCTCATCATCCTTGATTTTTCAGCAGCATTTGGCAAAATTGACCATTCCTTTCTTTCAGACTCTTCACTGTGACACGACATCCCTTTCTGATTGTTCCTTCTCAGCCACTCTCCTTCCTCCTTTCTACTCTATAGTCCATTTTGAAGCTTTATTCTAGACTTTTTTTCCTTATTCACACTTCTCGCCTCATTCATTCTGAACAGATGATTCTTACAATTAGGGTTCTTAGGCTCATTTTCTGAGACTTAGGCTTATATATTTGTCTAGTTAATAGGTTCTTTCATTGTCTGAGAAGTCCCTCAGAATTGGTAGATGTCAATAAGTTTAAAATCACTATCATTCCTATTGTTGAGTTTCTTTTCTGTGCATACGTCATACTTTGCTTTTCTGCCAAGTATTTCTTTTATGTCTAAAATCTACAGTTTCATTCTGTTTTTATGTTCACTACCTACAACCCACACCACCTTTACCTTTTGCTAAGTCAGTAATTAGTCTTTTAACTTACATTGTGGTCTTTAGTGGCTTCCACAGATTTCTTACAGTTAATATTTTAAACCACAGATCTGAATAGGTTACTGTCTTATGGAATCTCATACATACCTAGAAATATTATAGAGTTTTCTTCATTTGGCTTATTGCTACTCATCTTTCAAGTTTTAAATTTCTGGCAAACTTTTCCTTACCTATGCCATATATTTTCCCCAAGTACAAGTACTCTCATTGTACCAGTACTCTTCTTCATAGAGTTTATCGTAGTCCTTATTAACAGAATCCACGAGTTTTTGGCCTGTTAGTGTCACCCCTGTGTAGTGTTTGTAGCAGCTTTTTTGTAAGCAGAATCTGTTCATGATAGCTTTTCCCCATTTGTGCTCTGACTTTGTACCAGAGACCTAAGTGTGTAGTCCCCTTGGTATCTTTTTGTGATTAGAGCAAATACAGAAAATATAGCCAGTGCTTCATTATAAATTCTATAAAGGTCAAGCTTTTTGTGCTTGATAGTTAGGCGTTTTTGAATTCTCTTACTTTTCATCTCAACTCCTGCTTAAAATTATTAATAGAACCATAAACACTGCAGTCGCTGTGCCCTGTCAGTGGTTTGTTTCTCTGTACTGGTTAGCAGTCTGTGATGATTTGGTTAAAGGTACAAGAATCTGCCCTGTGCCCTGCAAGAAGGAGGTCTTGTGGTACAGTCACAAATACAGAACACATTTTCTGATGTAATAAAAGAAAGGAAATTTTATATGAAATAGATTGCTGCAAATAGGAAGTTTGGAATAGTGAGAAAATATTTAATGCTACACTAAAGACCAGGTTTTTGTTATTGCCGTGTCATAAATGTGCTTACAACCACTTAGTCTCTGGTAAAGATTTGTATTCTTAACAGTAAAATTCAGTGTTGATCAGGGTGATTCTTAATGTTTTTGATCGACCACTAGGAGAACAGTTGGAATTCATGGACTCTCTCCTAGAAATATTTGTATGTGCGCACGCACACACTCTGGCTCACTCGCTCTTTCTTTGATAGGCAGTTTTCAAGTTATGGGTACCTTGAAGCACTTCTGTGGGATCCGATTAAGAATAGGTTGGTGGTGTTGGATATCATGCAGTCACCACCTATTCTTAGTGACCCTGTGAGTACAACATAACGAAATCTTGTCCAATCCTGCGTCACTTTACAACCTCGACTCTACTTAAGCTGTTGTTGTAGTCACTGTCCTGTGCCATTCCATCTTATTGAATGTCTTTCGCTTTCACTGACTGTACATTTCCTACCATATGATGTAATTGCCTTGGGAATGCCCCCTCCTAATAATATAGCCAAAATATATTTGAGACGGTATCTCTATCCTGACTTCTAAGCCAGATATACTGTTTTTTGGGTAGTCTGTGATGTATTCAGTATTACTCACCAGCACTACAATTAAAGATAAAAGGTCTTATCCCATCTTCCTTATTTTGTGTAACTTTACATGCATGTGAAGCAATTGGAATTACCATGGCTTGGGTCAGGCGTACCTTAGTGTTAACTCAGGAAAAGAGAATGATATGCTTGCACATATCAAAGAATGGAATCTGTGTTCTAAATTGTATGTGGTTTTATTGTTATTTGCTGTCAAATTGACTTATGACTCAGTGACCCTGTGAACAGTGCCTCTGAAACTTGCCCTGTGCTGAGCCAACCTCACTGTCTCCAACACACTTGACCCTGTTACCAGTCACCGTATAAGTCCCTCTTATCCAGGGTCTTCCTGTCCTGTCATGACCTTCTACCCTTTGAAGTATGATGTCCTTCTCCAAGCACTAGTCCCTCCTGCCCAAAATATCTAAGACAGTTTCAAAATCCTTGTTTCTAAGGAACAACCTTGTTTCACCTTCTCCAGGACAGACCTGTTTGTTCTCCTGGCAGTTCATGACATATTCCGTATTCT